ACCATATGGTGAGTATTCTGTAGATATTTTAATATTCAGGAATATAATGTAATAATTCATGTTGAGATATCTCCTTGTGATTCAAGTCCATGTACATCCATTCACGTTGACCTATTAGCTAATACTTTTTTTGACATATTACATACATGCTGTTTTTTGAATGTCTGAAATTCATAGATGGCTGTGGAGTCAACAAAATTCAAATTATTAATATGCAACATTTTGAGAAACTAAACAAGCAAACATTTGTTGTCCTTCAGGTCTGCCTGATGCTCCTGGTAAGCCAGTTGTCTCTGACATTGATGCTACCAAGATGACTCTGAACTGGACTCCACCTTTGGATGATGGTGGTGCATCTGTTAAAGGATATGTCATTGAGAAGAAAGAAGGATTCTCATCACTCTGGACTAAAGTCAATCGATTTGATGTGACAGAAACAACATTCACCGTAACTGACCTGAAGGAGAAATCTGAATACCAATTCCAAATTGCTGCTGAGAACAAAGCTGGCGTTGGGAAATACAGTGAGCCATCAGATCCAAAGATTGCCAAGCCACCATATGGTAAATGCTTTACTTGTCCATCTTTGTAAATCCTACTGTTCTAATGTAATAGTGACTGATTCAGTATCGGTATGTTCTATTTTGCTGATATTTAGACAGGCGTGTCTCCCTGAGTTAGGATCATCATTGATAGTGGTTCCATAATGCATTATTTAATTAAATTTCAGATGTACCCAGTCCACCTGGTACACCCAAGGCATCTGACATAGCTGCTACATCTATCACGCTATCATGGACTCCACCTGATGATGACGGTGGTTCACCAGTAACTGGATACATTGTTGAGACAAAAGAACAGTTCAGTGTTAGATGGTCCCAAGTTAACAAGACAAGTATTGCAGATCTTACTTACATTGTGAAAGCCTTGAAGGAAGGTTCAACATATGAATTCAGAGTTTGTGCTGAAAACAAAGCTGGTGTGGGTAAACCAAGCGATTCAATTGGACCATTGACTCCTAAACCAAAATATAGTAAGTATTCACTAATGCATATAGATATTTAACTTAAATCTATTTCATGACTGGACTTAGTTACTAAGCATTGTCCAACACACAACGTTTCATCTAAAACTTATAAAACATTAGAATGCACTATATGCACAATATGAACTGTGAACTTTAACCCAATACAACATCATTTCATGTGGCCTTACAAGGAAATGTCGAAAAAAGAGATGTGTCAATTCACAGGTGTATTATTTCAGTACATTTTGTGTGACCTAAACATAACTTGTTTTCCTAGCTGTTCCTGATGCTCCTGGAAAACCCAAAGTAATGGAAGTCCAAGCTACATCTATGACCATCAGGTGGATGGAACCAGAATCTGATGGAGGCAGCAAAATCACCAATTATGTCATAGAAAGAAAGGAAGAATTCTCTACAAGATGGACAAAGGTCTACTCTGATGTGAAAAGCACAGATACAGACTTTACCGTGACAGGACTTACTGAGGGCTCAGAATACCAATTCCGAGTTGCTGCTGAGAACAAAGCTGGTGCTGGCAAATACAGTGAACCATCAGATTCTAAAGTTGCCAAACCACCATATGGTAAGTCTTGAGTATAATATAATACTTATATTTCTCTAAAATATTAATTTAGTTTTTAGTATTAAATTTTTTCAAATTCTTTTTCATCCAGGTCTACCTGATGCTCCTGGTAAGCCAGTTGTCTCTGACATTGATGCTACCAAGATGACTCTGAATTGGACTCCACCTTTGGATGATGGTGGTGCACCTGTTAAGGGATATATCATTGAGAAAAGGGACAAGGTTTCTTCCAGATGGATGAAAGCTAACAGATTTGATGTGACTGACTTGACATATGTTGTTACCGACCTCCAACAGGGTTCAGAATATCAGTTCCGAGTTGCTGCTGAGAACAAAGCTGGTGTTGACAAATATAGTGACCCATCAGATCCAAGGATTGCTAAACCACCATATGGTGAGTATATGTATATATATGAAAATGTACATCCGAGTGATTCTACTTTGTTTTAACTTTTGATAAGTAACAAGCCTACTGATTGAATATTCAGGTTCAGGGGTGAAGGGAATATATAGTCATAAGGTGATATTCTAAGATTGCTCAGGATCTGTGGCTTTCAGTGGGCAGGGTTTCCATTTTAACTGTAATCTGTATTACTTTATTCAGATGTTCCTGGTCCTCCTGGAAAACCAACTGTATCTGAGATTGATGCAACATCCATGAAACTCAACTGGTCACCACCTGATGAAGATGGTGGTTCTCCTATCACTGGGTACACCGTGGAAATGAAAGAACAGTTTGGATTCAGATGGAGTAAAGTTAATAAAATCAGTGTAACAGACACATCATATAAAGTGGAAGGTTTGAAGGAAGGAAATGAATATGAATTCAGAGTATGTGCAGAGAACAAAGCTGGAGTTGGTAAACCAAGTGACTCTAGTGGTGTCAAGAAGGCCAAACCACCATATGGTAAGTTTACTTGCTCATCAACAACAACTATTCAGATAAGATATTCATAACAAATTTGTATTGCTTGTGTATTCATAAAAATTATGTATTATACTTTTAATTACTGAAGAATTCTTTATTTTGGCTGGAAGTTATCAATCATGTTATTTATTTTTACTGACTTAAAACTTGTCTATTCACTGAAAATTAAACAAATAAAGTTGAATTTAATTTAATTCACATAAAATAGTGAAAAATAATTGATAAAATAATTAATAGTGTTATAAGCTTTCATACGTGACATGCACATACTGGGTTTCCATTTTCATATTTTTTCTCATTCCCTAACTCAATTTTTGTTTTTTCTCTAGATGTTCCAGATAAACCTGGCAAACCAAAAATATCCAATGTGAGTGCGACTTCGATGACTCTAAAATGGACAGAGCCTGATTCAGATGGTGGAAGTAAGATCACTAACTACCTCATAGAGAAGAAAGAAGAATTTGCTACTCGCTGGTCTAAGGTGTTCCTTGATGAAAAGGTGACTGACACTGAATACCATGTGACTGGACTCACTGAGGGATCACAATATCAATTCCATGTTGCTGCTGAGAACAAAGCTGGTGTTAGCAAATACAGTGAACCATCAGATACTGTAACTGCCAAACCACCATATGGTAAGTCTTCTTCATATTTTCCTCTCTAGTAACAACAGGTTTCTGTATGTGTTTTTTATTGGAAGTTGTCCAATCTGAACAACTAAAGGAACTAAGAAATATTTCAAAATTAAAAACTTACATTCATTGTGCATTATTTATCTTTATTTATAATTATTATCAATGTTCATTTGTGGCTGTTAAGATATGGTTATAAATCTTATCAATTTTGTTATGTTAATTAAAAGTAATATTTGTATTTCAAGGTGTTCCCGGAGCTTCTGACAAGCCCAGTACATCCGATGTGACTGCTACTAGTATGACTGTTAGCTGGTATCCACCTGATAATGATGGTGGTTCACCTGTAACTGGATACTTTGTAGAAAGAAAAGAACAATTCTCAACAATGTGGACTAGAGTTAATACATATTCAGTTAAAGAGACATCTTTGAAAGTTTCTCAATTGAAGGAAGGCTCTGATTATCAATTCCGTGTAATTGCTGAGAATAAGGCTGGTCCTGGTAAACCAAGTGAACCAAGCGAACCAAGAAAAGCCAAACCACCATATGGTGAGTATACTCTTGCAAGCATGATCATGAATTAATTTTAAAAAGCCTTATAACACTTAGCTTATAGCATATATACATTAGATGACACAACCAGTGATTTGATTTCACATATTTTTCATTGAGCGAAACTTCTACATTGTCTCTATTAAAAACAGATGTTCCAAAAGCACCTGGAAAACCAGACGTCAACAAGGTTGATGCAACACACATGACTCTGTTGTGGACAACACCATTCTCTGATGGAGGCAGCCCTATCACTGGTTACATCATTGAGAAATCAGATGCTTCAAGACTAAGATGGTCCAAAGCACATAGAGAGACAATAACTGATACAACATACACTGTAACTGATTTAATGGAAGGTACTGAATATCTGTTCAGAGTGGCTGCAGAGAACAAAGCAGGAATGGGACCATTCAGTGAGCCTAGCGATAAGAGACTAGCTAAGCCACCTTATGGTAAGTGTCTCTACATTCTGTTTATTGAAGGGATCATGTCTACATTGCCAAGAAGGTTAGCATAGGTACTGCTGATTCCTCAAGCACATATATGGCTAAGCATATATCTTACAAATATGTGTTTAACTTCTATAGATGTACCAGGCCCTCCTGGAAAACCAAAGATCTCAGATGTTACAGCAACATCCATGCATCTTAAGTGGTCTGTTCCAGACACTGATGGAGATTCAAAGATTATCAACTATGTTATTGAGAGGAAAGAAAAATTCAGCTCCAGATGGATTCGAGTAACCAAGGACAACATCTCTGACACAGAATACCAAGTCACTCATCTCACAGAGGGTACTGAATATGAATTCCGAGTTGCTGCTGAAAATAAGGCTGGTGTTGGCAAATTCAGTGAACCATCAGAAGCAAGAGTAGCCAAACCACCATATGGTAAGTTATAGATTACATTATGTCTTTGTATGTGACATTGTCATGATGATACTGTCCAAGGGCAGAATAAAATAATCTATAAAGCATTACAAGTTTCACAATGCTTACTGATTTTCTTCTTTCAACACAGATAAACCTGATGCCCCAGAAAAGCCATCAGTCTCAGGTGTGACTGAGAAATCAATAACACTAACCTGGAGCCCACCAATGGATGATGGTGGTAGTCCTATATTTAACTATGTGGTTGAAAAGAGAGAGAAATTCAGTACACGGTTTATCAGAGTTAGTGATGTTACAATATCTGACACAACATTTACAGTAACTGGTTTGGAAAAAGGTAATGAATATCAGTTCCGTGTGTCTGCTGAGAACAAGGCTGGCGTTGGCAAACCAAGCTCACCATCAGACCCAAGAATTGCCAAACCACCATATGGTAAGTGTTACATGTTGTCTCAGGGAACTTTCCTACTTTCACATTTACTTTCTTCTCCGATCGTTTAATGATATTCCTCGTTTTCTTTTCCAGATGTGCCAGATTCACCTGGTGCACCAGATATCACAAAAGTTGAAGGCAGCTCCATTACTCTGCTGTGGACACCACCAAAAGACGATGGTGGTTCACCAGTTACCGGATATTCAATCGAACGAAAAGAGAAATTCAGTTCACGCTGGGTAAAAGACAGTGCCATGCCTGTTACAGATACAATTTATAAGTCTACTGGTCTGACTGAAGGTACTGATTATGAATTCCGTATTGTTGCGGAAAACAAAGCTGGAGAAGGAAAGCCAAGCTTCCCTGCTACACTGAAAATCTCTGTACCAGATGCCCCTGGCAGACCTGATGTTATTGAAGTAACTGAGTCATCAGCCCGTATCAAATGGACTGTACCAGAATCCGATGGAGGAGCTAGAGTCACAGGCTACATTGTTGAAAGGTGTGACACCAGTAAAGATCGTTGGATAAGAGTCAATAGAACACCAGTTAAAGAGCCTTTCATCATTGCTGAAGACCTAATCAAAGGAACAGAATACATTTTCCGTGTGTCGGCGGAAAATAAGGCTGGAATCAGTGAACCTAGCAAACCATCTAAACCTGTTGTTGCCAAACCACCCTATGGTAAGTACGAGTTAGTCATTATTAACCTAGTTCTATGGTAGGTATGATTCTGATGTAACGCTGCAATAAGGTAAGTCTCATTCTGATGTAACGCTGCAATAAGGTAGGTCTCATTCTGATGGACCACTGCGATAAGGTAGGTCTGATTCTGGTAGAACACTGCGATAAGTCTGATATCCCTAATGTGTCACAGACAAGTTTATCTTCCTTATCTTCATCTTTCTATTTTCACCCTCCATGTCTGCTCTGTGTATTCTCTCACCACATCTTCTACTTCTCCCCTGCACCTTAGATGTGCCCGATGCACCAAGCAAACCTGATGTATCTCATGTGACCAGGTCTTCAATGACTCTAGAATGGAAACCACCTGCATCAGATGGTGGTAATCCCATCATCTCTTACATAGTTGAGATGAAAGATCAGTTCAGTACAAAGTGGACGCTCACAGCTAACGTTGCACAACCAACATGCACAGTCTCTGACTTAAAAGAAAATACAATTTACGAGTTTAGGGTTTCTGCTGAGAACAAAGCAGGAGCTGGTAAACCAAGTCAGTCATCAAAACCAACAAAAGCAAAAAATCCTTATGGTAAGGACTGTAATAATATTTGAGTTTGACATTTTGGTTTTTGTGAACTAAAATTATACTAAAATATTAGTAACAAGGAATACAGTTTAACTAGTCCTTTGAAGTTTTTTTCTGGTCTCTCGTTAACAATGAATTTGCTTGTCATTTCATGATATAATATTGGCTTTCGAGAAATAAGAATATAGTCTAGTGATTTTGTGAAACTAGGTTTTGTTAATCATCTAATATGTTTCTAGTGGTTTGCCGTTCATTGTCGTGTGTCACTACTCCTCTAACCCACACTTAATTCACATCAGGTTTCTCATTATTCCCTACAATCAATGCTTCCCTTTTACCCAGATGCACCAGGAGCTCCACCAGTTCCTAAAGTTCTTGATGTGACCCATCACTCTGTCACATTGGAATGGACACCACCCGAGTCTGATGGTGGTGCACCAATCCTTGGTTATGTGTTGTATTCCAAAGAGAGATTGGATAAACTTTGGGTACAATCTTCACAAATGTTGGAATGCTTGACACATACAGTGTCTGATCTACGAGAGCGATGTGTGTATCAGTTCAAAATAGCTGCTGAGAACAAAGCTGGCGTTGGTAAACCAAGTGATGCCACTCTTCCTATCACTTTGAAACCTCCCTATGGTAAGCACTGCACTGTAATGCAGCTTCAATATTGCTTGTTTCTATGCATTTTATCTTGCATTCTATATGATGTATATTGCACTCTTTATATATATTGCATTATATTCCACTTGCATTTATACTATGTAGCCTTAATATTGCTTGTTTCTTTGCATTTTATCTTGCATTCATATTATATATTATTGCACTCTTTGCTTTGAACAATACACTGGCAGTATACAATGTTATGTATGATATAAAGGCACTGGCTATATTAATATACTTCTGTACCTTAATGCTGAATGTGCACTCTTTGTAATTTGTCTCTTAAATTCTTTGCTCTAGCATACTAGAATTATGTCTTGTATGCACTTGAGTGTTATCTGCATCTTATTGTTACATGTGTCTACAAACTTGCAATGCTATCACTGAATGAACTGTATTTTCTCTGGTAAGACTGCTCTATGTTGCCTACTCATGTTTATGACATGCTCGTCAGGTGTACATCATGTGATCATCATGTGCTCACCAGATGTGCATCATGTGCTTATCAGGTGTGCATAATGTTTTTGCCTTCGCATTGGCTATGCAATGGCTGCATGTTGACATAATGCAGCACTTAATCCTGCTGCTACAGTACTATTTGCATGGTCTGCAAGTTCAAGATTCTGCTCAGTGTGATTACCATGTTAGAAAGGTAAGGATATTCCTACTTTGTCTCGCCATTAAGTACCCTTACACTATGCTTCCTCTATCTCTTTTTATTCTTCACATCCTACCACACATATATAGAAGTCCCAGATGCCCCAGGGAAACCATCTGTCACGGACATCACGGAGGTATTCATGACAATAAAATGGGTGCCACCTCAGTCTGATGGTGGCAATAAAATTATCACTTACATCATTGAGAAGAAAGAGCAGTATAAAACACGATGGGAACAAGTTAATGATTACACAGTGATTGAAACAGTATTCACTGTCAGAAATCTAAAGGAAGGTAATGAGTATGAGTTCAGAGTACTTGCTGAGAACCAAGCAGGTACTAGCAAACCCAGTGAGTCATCAGAACCAAGGATTGCAAAACCACCATATGGTAAGTATATCTTTATTCAGTGTTTATGTATCCTAAATGCTAAACATAAATGTTGATTAGGACTTGACAGTTAGAAATCATAAATTATGTTCATGTGATACTAAATAAAGAAAGCTTGAACTTGTGAAAAATGTGCAAAATATTACACCAAACCTTTGGTGGAAAAAGTTGCAGCCTCCAAAACGTTGAGGAAGTCTTGTTTATCCAAAATGACGTAAACTATTGTGATCAAATTGACAACACACAATGATGTTGTGCCTATAAAATGTCAGGTCAAATAAGTTAATATAAAAAAGTTGAGTGTCTGGATTGGTCATGTATTCTTAGTGTAAATACATGACTTGTACAAAATCATTTAAAATGATGAATCTCTATGACAATCCTGAATGTTTCCCTTGCGCAAGTTTTAACAGTCACATCTCCTTATATACAGATTTACCTGGAGCACCAATGACTCCTGAAGTGAGCGATGTCAATGCAACACACATGACTGTTACATGGAGACCACCCAGGAATGATGGAGGAAGTCCAATCATTGGTTACATCATTGAAAGAAAAGATACCAGCAGTAACAGATGGATTAAATCTAACAGAGATACTGTCTCTGATATGAGATTCACTGTGCGAGATCTTGTAGAAGGATCTGAGTATGAATTTAGAGTTTCTGCTGAAAACAAAGCTGGTGTTGGACCTCCTAGTGAACCATCAGATAGAAGAAAAGCGAAACCTCCATATGGTAAATGATTTTTTTTAATATTGTCAGCAGGAGAAATAGATTATTATAGAAAATAAAGACCTACCACAGAGTATTGTTAATTTATAAGTGCCACAGTCACCATGCTAAATTTTGTTTGATATAAAGTGAATTGTTTGTTATACAAATGCATAATATCATGTGTTTTGCTCTTGCAGCAATGGAAAGCTTTGATTTAATCATTGAAGTGTCTGATGAAATTTTTATGAAATGTATTCTTTCTTAGATGCACCGGATGCTCCAAGTAAACCACAGGTTTCAGACATCACTGCCACTACCATGAATTTGACCTGGAAACCCCCTCACAATGATGGTGGGTCACCTGTCACTGGATATATTGTTGAAAAACGAGAGAAGTTCTCCACAAGGTGGGACAAAGCCAATAGATACAATGTGACAGATACACAGTTCAAAGTTACTGATTTAAAACAGGGCAAGGAATATGAATTTAGAGTCACTGCAGAAAACAAAGCAGGTGTTGGAAAACCAAGTGACCCTTCAGAATCAAGGATTGCCAAGCCACCATATGGTGAGTGAAATGAACTCAATCTTTTTCTGTATCACAAAGTCATGTTTACTTTCATCCTTTGAATGCAAATAACAACAAATATGTTGTCACCTTTCACATGATTAACCTGCATAATTGTAATTTGAAAATTATCCCTGATTGGTCCAAAATTAAAGGAAAGAACAAAAAAAACATGTTCAAAATGTTGGTAGGAATATTGCCACGTATTTGTAGTGTTGCCACAATGTTGGAATAAGAAAGCCTGAATTTCATAATAATTTCACAGAAATACTGTAACAATATTGCTACTTGTTTAATTTCAGATGTGCCAGGCCCACCAGGTACTCCTAAAGTATCTGACGTTAATGCTACATCCATGAAGCTGACCTGGACACCACCTCAGGATGATGGTGGTTCTCCTGTAACCGGATACTATATCGAAAAGAAGGAACAATTCTCTGCAAGATGGGCACGTGTCAACACAATGCCTGTGACAGACATCAGTTACAGTGTTGAAAGACTCACTGAAGGCTCACCATATGAATTCAGAATATGTGCGGAGAACAAAGCTGGTGTTGGCAAACCAAGTGATTCAACTGGACCACACACAGCCAAGGCACCATACAGTAAGTACATTCTACTTCTAAACACAACATTTACAAAAGATTCTGATTGAGATGTTTTTACAGTAACACACAACAATAAATTAATAAAATTCACCCTTTCCTTTTCCAGCTGTTCCTGATGCTCCCGGAAAGCCCAAAGTAATGGAAGTCCAAGCTACATCCATGACCATCAAGTGGATGGAACCAGAATCTGATGGGGGAAGTAAAATCACCAATTATGTTGTTGAAAGGAAAGATGAATTCTCCTCCAGATGGAGTAAAGTTTTTACAGATGAGAAATCACTTGATACAGCATTTACTGTCACTGGTCTCAATGAAGGATCTAACTATCAGTTCCGAGTTGCTGCTGAAAACAAAGCTGGTGTTGGCAAATACAGTGAACCATCAGATATTAAGACTGCCAAGCCACCATATGGTAAGTGAAAGGGTAAAGTTGCTGAAAATTTAAAAAAAAAAATTTTAGTCTGGATGGTTATACTGTAATAATTGTTCTATAATTATTATCTCACTTATTTTGGTTTGTTCAATTCTTAGGTCTGCCTGATGCTCCTGGTAAGCCAGTTGTCTCTGACATTGATGCTACCAAGATGACTCTGAACTGGACTCCACCTTTGGATGATGGTGGTGCACCTGTTAAAGGATATATCATTGAGAAGAAAGAAGGATTCTCATCACTCTGGACTAAAGTCAATAGATTTGATGTGACAGAAACAACATACACCGTAACTGACCTGAAGGAAAAATCTGAATATCAATTCCGAATTGCTGCTGAGAACAAAGCTGGTGTTGGCAAATATAGTGAACCATCAGATCCTAAAGTTGCCAAACCACCATATGGTAAGTGACTTTGTGATTTATTTAACAACTAATCATTACACTGTATATCCATGGAAAAGTTACAATAAAACTTTTTTCCTAGCTGCATCTCAAATTCTTTGTACATTCTATGTGAAGTCTTTTTTTTAAAATTGGTGTATGGTTCTCTGAGATACACCGTCTTGTATTATTTCACATTAGCTAGTAACTGTGAAAGACACATAAAATTTAGAAAAGGGAATACTTCACTCTTTATGAAAGACCTGACATCACTCATGGCTGTATTGTGTTCTTGGACATAAGTTTGCCTATATACTCACATTCCTATGTGAAGTCTCTTTCTTACTTTAAAATAAAACATTGTGACTTGTTTTTGACATTATCCACACTTTGTTTTCATAGATGTTCCAGGTCCACCAGGTACCCCAAAAGTATCTGACGTTGCTGCTACATCCATGAAACTGACTTGGACAGCACCGGAAGATGATGGTGGTTCTCCTGTGACCGGATATGTTGTGGAAGTTAAAGAACAGTTTGCATTCCGATGGTCCAGAGTCAACAAATTCACCATAACAGATTTACACATGACTGTTAAAGATCTGAAAGAAAACTCAGTTTATGAATTCAGAGTATGTGCTGAGAACAAAGCTGGTGTTGGTAAACCAAGCCAATCTACAGGACCACACACAGCCAAGGCACCATACAGTAAGCGATTTTAAAATATTTATACAGCGTAACCTTATGAGTTGTATTCAGTAGGAAGTTAGACATGTTGAGCAGGTTTATGAACTAAACTTGATTGAAGCTAGATGGATATGATAATGCTGAAATATTTTGAGGATTATGGTGTGAGCATAAAATAGTGAATATTAAACCTTCATTTGATTTATTCATTAATATTTATGATATATCAAAATCACAATACTACGGTGTCCATCATTAAGATATTTATGATTTGCTTTTCCACATTCCAGCTGTTCCTGATGCACCCGGCAAACCTAAGGTAACTGAAGTACAGGCAACAAGTATGACGGTGAAATGGACAGAGCCAGAATCTGATGGTGGAGCAAGAATCACCAACTACGTCATTGAGAAGAAAGAAGAGTTCAGCACAAGATGGGGAAAGATTCATCTTGATGAACCAATTGTGGACACAAGCTGTATAGTTCCTGGTTTAACAGAAGGCACTGACTATCAATACCATGTTGCTGCTGAGAACAAAGCTGGCATTGGCAAATATAGTGAACCATCTGATACTAAGACTGCCAAACATCCATATGGTGAGTATTTTGGCTTTGGGTTTATTCAGTATATTTTTTGTGTGTAGACTTCATTCATTTGTGATCTAGAATCATTGACTGAAATCACAGGAAAGTCACTACAACTTAATGCCACAATAACCCTGTGTAATGCTCAGTTTGTATTTTATGAAATTAAAGGCAATCATGTATTCCACAGCTACTTAATATAAATTATATTAAACTATATTTTCTTCTTCTATCATTAGGCCTGCCTGATGCTCCTGGTAAGCCAGTTGTCTCTGACATTGATGCTACCAAGATGACTCTGAACTGGACTCCACCTTTGGATGATGGTGGTGCACCTGTTAAGGGATATATCATTGAAAAGAAAGAAGGATTCTCAACTTTTTGGAACAAGGTCAATAGATTTGATGTCTCAGATACAAAATATACAGTCACTGATCTGAAAGAAGGCACTGAATACCAATTCCGAGTTGCTGCTGAGAACAAAGCTGGTGTTGGCAAATACAGTGAACCATCAGATCCAAGGATTGCCAAACCACCATATGGTAAGTGACTTTGTGATTTATTTAACAACTAATCATTACACTGTATATCCATGGAAAATAAAACTTTTTCCTAGCTGCATCTCAAATTCTTTGTACATTCTATGTGAAGTCTTTTTCTTTTTATAAAATAAAACATTGTGACTTGTTTTTGACATTATTCACACTTTGTTTTCATAGATGTTCCAGGTCCACCAGGTACCCCAAAAGTATCTGACGTTGCTGCTACATCCATGAAACTGACATGGACAGCACCGGAAGATGATGGTGGTTCTCCTGTAACCGGATATGTTGTGGAAGTTAAAGAACAGTTTGCATTCCGATGGTCCAGAGTCAACAAGTTCACCATAACAGATTTACATATGACTGTTAAAGATCTGAAAGAAAACTCAGTTTATGAATTCAGAGTATGTGCAGAGAACAAAGCTGGTGTTGGTAAACCAAGCCAATCTACGGGACCACAAACAGCCAAGGCACCATACAGTAAGTGTGATATTTCTATTCACTGTTATTTCATATTTTAAGAGCAACATTATTTTATAGCTATCAGTAATTCATGTGATTGTTGTCAATGAAGCTGTCGCTTCTTTGTCCTGCTCAAAAGGTAGTCACAATGTATTCAAGTGGTGATTGTATGGATGAGCTCTTAGTAGCACATTTGTTCACCTGCTATAATGACTCTGAAATTAATCATTGAATTGTTTTATCTCCAGCTGTACCAGATGCACCTGGTAAACCTAAAGTAATGGAAGTCCAGGCATCAACTATGACACTGAAATGGACAGAACCAGATTCTGATGGAGGTGCTAGAATTACTCATTACATCATTGAACGAAAAGAACAATTTGGCACACGCTGGTCCAAGGTGTACACTGATGAAACAATTGTGGATACTGCTTTTATTGTTACTGGACTCACTGAGGGCTCAGAATATCAATTCCGTGTTGCTGCTGAAAACAAAGCTGGTGTTGGCAAATATAGTGAGCCATCAGATCCTAAAGTTGCCAAACCACCATATGGTAAGTCAATTTATTCACTGTATAATATATTTCATGCTTTGTGTTTGATATATTAAACTGTGGAAATATTTCATTTACTATGTTTTTTATTAATCTCTGTAATGTAACTCATTCTATTTAGGTCTACCTGATGCTCCTGGTAAGCCAGTTGTCTCTGACATTGATGCTACCAAGATGACTCTGAACTGGACTCCACCTTTGGATGATGGTGGTGCACCTGTTAAGGGATATATCATTGAAAAGAAAGAAGGATTCTCAACTTTCTGGAACAAAGTAAACAAATTAGATGTTACTGATACAACATTCACAGTGACTGACCTAAAGGAAAAATCAGAATACCAATTCCGAATTGCTGCTGAGAACAAAGCTGGTGTTGGCAAATACAGTGAACCATCAGATACTAAGACAGCCAAGCCACCATATGGTAAGTCTTTCTATTGTCTTATGTTCTTCTATTATGTATGAATATTTATAAATTGGCAAACAAGTTTAAAATTAATCAGTACTAATAGTATTGGAATAATTTCTCAATAGATGTACCAGGTCCACCAGGCACTCCGAAGGTATCAGAAATTACAGCTACATCCATGAAACTGACCTGGACAACACCACATAATGATGGTGGGTCTCCTATAACCGGATATGTTGTTGAGCGTAAAGATCAGTACGGAACAAGATGGACTCACATTAACAAGTTCTCCATCCCAGATCTACACTTGACTGTTCAAGACTTGAAGGAAAATTCTGTATATGAGTTCCGTGTCTGTGCTGAGAACAAAGCTGGTGTTGGTCAACCAAGCCAATCCACTGGACCACATACAGCTAAGGCACCTTATGGTGAGTTCACAAGCTGCAGCCAGATCATTTGTTTAATACAACATGATTTATTTCTTTTTTCATCTGTCTCATTTCTCATCTAAAAACTTGTTTCATATTTACAGTATGGTACATTTAGTTAAGTGTACTTTGACACAGTAAAGACAACTGACCTCTATTGCCATTAGTTCATGTGGGATGTGATATTCTGATATTTTGCATATTTATTAAATTACCATCATTTAAAAAAAAATTAATGTTGTTTTATTCACAGATCTACCAAGTGCCCCTGGTAAACCACTTGTATCTGGTATCACTGCAACTACTATGACCATTAAATGGACAGAACCAGAATCTGATGGAGGAGCTAAGATCACCAACTATGTCATTGAGAAGAAAGAAGATTTCAGTACAAGATGGACAAAATTGTACACAGACAAATTAGCTGATACTGAATACACAGTGACTGGTCTGAAAGAGAAATCAGAATACCAATTCCGTGTTGCTGCTGAGAACAAAGCTGGTGTTGGCAAATACAGTGAACCATCAGATCCTAAAGTTGCCAAACCACCATATGGTAAGTCAATTTCATAACTGTAATATACATAATATCTGATTATTGTTGCCTATGCTGAAAACTCTGATGTGTACCTTGGGTAAAATATATTGCATGGAACAAAATTAATAGTAATTACAATTATTATGTTTGTGGTTACAGATGTTCCCGGAGCTCCTGACAAGCCCAGTACATCTGATGTGACTGCTACTAGTATGACTGTTAGCTGGTATCCACCTGATAATGACGGTGGTTCACCTGTAACTGGATACTTTGTAGAAAGAAAAGAACAATTCTCAACGATGTGGACTAGAGTTAATACATATTCAGTGAAAGAGACATCTTTGAACGTTTCTCAATTGAAGGAAGGCTCTGATTATCAATTCCGTGTAATTGCTGAGAATAAGGCTGGTCCTGGTAAACCAAGTGAACCAAGCGAACCAAGAAAAGCCAAACCACCATATGGTGAGTACTTTTACCAACACGTGAATTGTCACATACATTTTGATTAATATGCAATAAGCTTTGATTAATTTTGCAGTAAGTTTTTATATGCATTTTTTCAAAAATTATCAAAAAAATAACAAAAAATTTGAAAAATGTCAATGGGGGTTATAGTATAGTATCTCAAGTTAATTGATTGATACGTATATTCATCGTGTACTGTATTCGATATATGGTGACATTTCAAAAGTTATAAATCATAATATTCTGTTGTATTCGCAATTTCAGATCTTCCTGGTGCACCAAATCAACCTGATGTTACCAAGATTGATGCAACTCACATGACACTTACATGGAGACCACCATACTCTGATGGCGGCAGTCCTATTACTTCATACATTATTGAGAAGTTTGATGTAACTAGGCGAAGATGGACTAAAGCGCATCATGGGAAAATCACTGAAACTACACATACAGTGACCGAGCTGACAGAACACACCGAATATCAGTTTAGAGTGGCTGCAGAGAACAAAGCAGGAATGGGACCATTCAGTGAGCCTAGCGATAAGAAACTAGCTAAGCCACCTTATGGTAAGTATACCAGCTATCATTTATTGCAGAAATCTGGATCATTCAACCCATGGAACTACTTTCTTTATTTCAATCACACCATTGCAATTTTTTCTCAATTTTTCTTTATTATTACAAAACCTCTAATCTGATGATAATTTATGTTTCAGATGTTCCAGGTCCTCCAGGTAAACCAAAGGTTTCATCCGTAGAAGCTACTGCAATGACACTCACCTGGTCTGAGCCATCATCTGATGGTGGAGCAAGAATCATCAGTTATGTCATCGAGAAGAAAGAAAAATTCAGTTCTCGCTGGGTAAGACTTACCAAAGACACTATCCCAGACACCACCTACAGAGTCACTGGATTGACCGAAGGTACCGAATATGAATTCAGAGTTGCTGCTGAGAACAAAGCTGGGGTTGGTAAACCAAGTGAACCATCGGATCCAAGGATTGCCAAACCACCATATGGTAAGTAACAAATAATCTATTGCTGTTTTCTCACTAATCACTGAACTCTGTCTTGAATGACATAGTAGAATTTGTACACTTAAATCTCAGTGCCTACAATGTAAATGAAAGTGCTTTTGGTTTCATGGCAGATAATTGTGCTACAATTAGTAGATTATGTCAGAATTATTTATAAATCTCTCTGTTATGCATATTAACCAGCTTTTGTACACGAAAACCAAAAGAGTAAAATAATTGTTATTTTTATTTTTAGACAAACCTGGCGCACCTGGAAAACCAACTTTGTTTGATGTAACTGATATAGCCATGAGCTTGAAATGGACTCCACCTACAGATGACGGAGGCAGTCCAGTTTTCAACTATATCATTGAAAGAAGAGAAAAGTTCACAACTAGATGGTCTCGAATCAGCAATGTTACAGTGTCTGATACAACATTCACAGCAACAGGATTACAAAAAGGCAATGAATATGAATTCAGAGTGAGTGCCGAAAACAAAGCAGGAGTTGGTCCACCCAGTGATTCATCTGGCCCAAGGATCGCTAAACCACCATATGGTAAGCTACATGTAATTATGTCTTGTGTTTAAAAATCTAATTGTACATTTCAGTCTCACTGCCTTATAGTAGAAGCCTACTCATAAATTAAAAAAGCAACAGAATGTATTCATTTTGCAATAAAATGTACTCCAAGGTAATATAAGAATATTGACCTAAAAAAAGTTGGGGGTCACCAACCTTTTTTCAAGGAAATTGATGGTTGCATTTTAGTGGAAAGTCGCCATTTTGACACTATTACATGTGTATAACACTTTTACCACAGGATCCTATGGCAGAGATAGTATGCAATATCTCAAAATCTAGCCTGGTGACATAGGCTGAAAAAATCATATTGTTAATCATGGAGTACTTTTTGTTGTTCTGAATTATTTAAAAAATCTGTGTTTTAAAAAGTCAAAAAATGCAATTTTTCTTTAACATTGTGTTCCATGGAAACTGTTCTAAAAATAGCAATTTTCAAAAAATATTAGGACACGTTTCTCAAAAAGCATAACTGTAACACACAAAATAATGCTATTTCATTTTCCCATGAGACGTTAGCTTCATGATTGTACATAATAAATTAATGAACATTGTCATGCGATTTATGACCAATTTTGTCAAAAATTATGACTAGGCTTCTACCTTAGGAAGGCCATGGAGACAGTTGCCTAGATGTCCCATTCAAATGCATTGATGCCTTTCAAAATATTTTCTTCTAAATTTTGTTTGTCAATATTTGTATACTCAATCTCAGGTGTTTATGCTGTTGATCCCATCTGACATTGAGCCTGCTAGCTTCGAATTTTGTTCAACGTTTTTACCAAAAGACATGGTTTCTGGTATTTAGTGCCTAATGTGCTAATCACTGTAAAACAATGCATCAAATTTATGTTGCGTACATGTATAAAAATGACTGTTGTTAGCTAGGACTTGTATTTACAACCTTACAGTATTTAATAGTGTAACCAATGTTGTCTATTTTCAGATTCACCAGATTCACCAGGTGCACCAGACATAGTTGATGCTAAGCCTTCATCTTTAACTCTGAAATGGACTCCTCCAAAGGATGATGGTGGAACGCCAATCACTGGATACATGGTTGAAAAGAAAGAAAAATTCAGCTCTCGCTGGGTGAAAGAAAATATTACACCAGTCAAAGAAACAACATACCAAGTCTCGGGACTGACTGAAGGTAAAGACTATGAATTCCGTATTCTAGCAGAGAACAAAGCTGGATCAGGAAAGCCTAGCTTCCCAGCCACCTTAAAGATTTCTGTACCAGAGGCACCAGAAAGACCAGAAGTTATTGAAGTCACTGAGTCATCAGCCAGTATGAAATGGGCAGCACCAGAGTATGATGGAGGTGCTAGAATAACTGGCTACATTGTGGAGAAGCGAGAAACCAGTAAAGATCACTGGACAAGAGTGAACCGTACACCAGTGAAAGAGACTTTTGTATCTGCTGCTGATTTAATACGAGGAGCTGAATATGAGTTCCGTGTTTCCGCAGAAAATAAGGCTGGAATCAGTGAACCAAGCAAACCATCTCGACCTGTGGTTGTGAAACCACCATATGGTGAGTTATTTAACATGTAAATAAAACTGTTCGTCAATAAAATAATTTAATTCCAGGTTGGGGTGGTGAGCAACATTTCTCTATCTTCTGTACATGATGATGCAGGATCCAGTATGAAGACAGTTGTATCATTGTGTTTTCCTCTCTTTGCACAGTGGTTCTTTGAAGACTTTTCTGAGGATTTACTGGGATAATGATTGAACAGCATAATCTTATTCCATTGTAAATCAATTATTGATCCCTTTACTTCATCTTCCTTTCATTCACTTTTCATCTTCCTGACCTCTATGTCTGTATCTATTCACCAATAAAGATGTTCCTGAGGCTCCAAATAAGCCTGATGTATACAACGTTACTAAGAAGTCTGTGACACTCACATGGAACCCACCTCTCTCTGATGGTGGTAGTCCAATATCTCAGTACATTCTTCAAATGAAAGAACAGTTTTCCATGCGATGGACTGTAAAAGCCAGAGTTCCTGATGCTAAATATGTTGTGACTGATATGAAAGAAGGGTCTGTTTATGAATTCAAAGTGTCTGCTGAGAACAAAGCTGGTGTTGGTCCAGCTAGTCCATCAGTGACTGTCACTGCTAAAGATCCTTACGGTGAGACATGTGGATACTATGCATGGGGATCTCTCATTTCTTCTGATAATTTTCTGTTATTTTGATTCATTGGAAGGATATACATCTTAACTATTCTCTGCTGTTATGCTTCCTAGTAGGAAGGTTTAAAGCATATACTTATGCTGCTTGGATTTTAGCTACCACTTTATACTGACACATCCCAATACACTTTTTTTGTTCTCTAATCGGTAACTGCTTTCTGTTATCTGTCTAATTTGATCTAGCAATACCAGAATTCTTGTTTGTGTAGTTTTCTTCTAACACCCATTTGTATTCAGTCAGGTTCTTAGCCTCTTTTCCTATCATCCAACTAGATGTTCCAGGGGCTCCTGATGTTCCTCGTGTTACTGAAGTCACTCATCATTCAGTAAATTTACAATGGAATCCCCCTACATCTGATGGTGGTGCTCCTATTATTAGCTATTTGGTGGAAAAGAAACAGAAGTTCAGCACTAAATGGGTCCCAGCAACACGTGAGAAAGTCCCAGACTTGACATGCACTGTTAGCAATCTCGAACAGATGACTGAGTATCAGTTCAGAGTTGCTGCAGTGAACAAAGCAGGTGTTGGTAAACCAAGTGAGCCAACAAAAGCAGTTCTTACTAAGGCTGCTCATGGTAAGAATAATGCTGCGACACATGTGATGTACCTAGTGCCTTTCTATATCAACTTTGTATTTGCCAGTGTCTTGTTCATAAGTAGGGATTCATGCACTATTATCTTTTCTTCTTTTACACTTGCACTTCTGCTAATTTCTCTCATTGACAGGTATTGCTTTGTCTTTTGTCTTCAAAATCTTTCTTTTTATCTTTCATCCCCTTCATCTCACTGTAGAAGTCCCAGACGCCCCTGGTAAACCTTCTGTCTCTGACATCACCGCTACGTCAATGACCCTCAAATGGACACCCCCTGAAAAAGACGGTGGTAGTCCCGTTACAGGCTACATCATTCAGAAGAAAGATCAGTTCAGCTCCAGATGGGAAAAAGTCAATCTATACAAAATCACTGAGACCACCTTTGTTGTTGAGAGTCTCAGAGAGGGTAGCACATATGAGTTTAGAGTGTGTGCTGAGAACAAAGTGGGTGTAGGCAAACCAAGTGATGCAACTGATTCTAAGGTTGCTAAACCACCATATGGTGAGTACAGTCACCAAAACTGAAAATTTCCCCGTTAAAATTTCAATGTATTCTTTCAACAGAAGAAAATGAGATCACAGTCACCTGTCCTGGGTTGTTATCAGACAAGATGTGTGTTTTTATGATATTGTAGCCAATATTATGCAAATGTGTATAGACAACGGTGTTTGATCTAATATCACTATTCAAAACTTTGTTTGAGGCAAACCATTATTGGTTTCCTGCAGCCTAGCTATACACAAATTATCCATCAAATTGTGTTTATCAGTGAAATTTGCTCTCCAGCTCATTGACTGGAACACTTTCCCTCGACAATCAAAGATCACAAACCAGTTGACCGGGCACCAGCAACTTTCAAACTGTTTGACATTTTAATGGCCAATACACAACCTCAAAAATAATATGATCTGACTCAAACTTAAATTATTTTAAGAAATCTAGCTTTCAAAAATGATCTTGTGGAATTTACCTATTTTTTAAGGGAATGAAAAAATCTCATTTTATGAGGTTTTAATTCATTTTTTTTAACAGACTTACCTGGTGCCCCTGGCAGACCAGATGTGACTGATTCACATGCCACAACTATCAGTATCTCATGGAAACCACCTAGAAATGATGGTGGAAGTCCCATTATTGGATATATCATTGAAAGGAAGGATACAAGCACATCAAGATGGATTAGATGTAATAGAGATGCACTACCTGATCTTCACTTCATGATTAAAGATCTATTTGAAGGAAGCGAGTATGAGTTTAGAGTCAGTGCTGAGAACAAAGCTGGTGTTGGACCACCAAGTGAGCCATCTGACCCAAGAAAGGCCAAACCACCATATGGTAAGTGCAATGTTTTTTTTGTTTTTTTCTTAGCAAGTCGGTTTATCTCATGGCATTTCCATACTACACATTGTACACAATACATGTTCATGGTTTCATTAATGATTTAAGTTACAAAGTGAACTTCACAAAAAATCCACATTATTTCTTTACCAAAAAAACGTAATGAAAGTTTAAACTCGGACAGTACATGGTCATATCCACTTTCATGGGTTTGTGCCTACTTGAGACATTCTTATTAATATAATATTAATTAGGAAGAAAATCTTTCAAACAAAGCGGTTAATTATATTGTTGCTTACTGGTTATGTATCTATATTGTAGGTGTACCTGATGCTCCTGGTAAACCCAACATTACAGATGTTACATCAACAACTGTTACCCTCAACTGGAGAGCTCCACTCTCAGATGGAGGTGCTCTCATTACAAGCTATGTAATTGAAAAGAGGGAGAAATTCTCAACTCGATGGGTCAAAACAAATAAATTTGCCGTGACAGAAACATCATTTAAAGTAACAGATCTAAAACATGGAACTGAATATGAATTCCGTGTTGCTGCAGAAAACAAAGCAGGTGTTGGAAAACCAAGTGAACCAGCTGGCCCGGTCATTGCCAAACCACCATACGGTAAGACTGCAGTGATATTTTGTTGTAAATTTTGAATGTTGGTTTTTTTGTCTTATTATTTCAGTGTTCCAAAAATCCATGCAATGGACTATACAAAGTTTCAATACTCTTTGGAAGATGAAATCAAAATCCATAACAACTCCAAGAACACAATGGACTGATTCTCCCACAATGCATGTACATGTTCAAGTCAGTGAAATAAAAATGACTGAAACTCAAAAAATCATTTCAGATGTTTCAAAAACGCATCTTACTGCACATGTGGCACTCTCCAAATATCCAGACTGATTATAAACAATATAAACAATAATACAATGATAGAATCAGACTGATTATAAACATTAATACAATGATAAAATCATCGACATACAATTATTTTTTTTATTTAAAATATTTATTTTACTCATTGTAGTGTACATAACTAAATTGAAAATAATGGCATTAGCAAATATACACAGTAATTAAAGTTAAGAATATGCGTCTAATAGGATTTGTTGAACCTCTTTCTTTGATACACTTTGTATTTAAAAACTAATATTTTGATTAGATTGCATATATGGTATTTGTGAATAGACTATCCAGCTATCAGAATTACAGAATTTGATATTCTTGCTAGTTATTAATTTTTTTCAAAGGCAAGCCACCAATATGACTTCCAAAGTCCAATATTATTTGACAATTTAAAATCATGCTCAAAATCTTTTCTACAAATTGCCAAACATTTGTTTTGACACAATCCCAATGTTTGTGTTTGTATGTATCAGTGGCATTACAACATAAACACAGGGGTATAAATTCTACCCCCATTTGAACAATCTCCTATAGTCTCCTGATATTGATTCTATCTGTACAGATGTACCTGGTCCACCTGGCACACCTGATGTATCTGATACTACATCAACATCAATGACACTAACCTGGACACCACCTAGAGTTGATGGTGGTTCTCCTGTAACTGGATATATCATTGAAGTCAAAGAGCAATTCAGCACCAGATGGGCAAAAGTCAACAAGATGAGCATACCAGATCTTTCTTTCACTGTTGGTAATCTGAAGCAGAATTCTGTCTATGAGTTCCGAGTGGCTGCTGAGAACAAAGCTGGAATTGGTAAACCTAGTGATTCCACTGGTCCACATACAGCCAAGCCGCCATTCAGTATGTACTCTCTACTTTAGATTAATTTACAATAGATTTTCCAATTATGTATTTCAATCCTAATATTTCTATGATTCAGAAATCCCATTCTCTGCAGAAATCTTACTGTTACAATTTTCTCTTCAGATGTACCAGACGCACCTGGGAAACCTAAGATAACATCTGTGACTGCAACAACCATGACCATCAATTGGTCTCCACCATTATCTGATGGTGGCAGCAGGATAACTAATTATGTTATTGAAAAGAAAGAACCATTTGGTCTGAGATGGGCTCCAGTCAGTAGAGATGAGAATGTTACGGAAATGACTTACACTGTTCATGATCTGATTGAAGGATCTGAATATCAATTCCGAGTAGCAGCTCAAAATAAAGCTGGAAGTGGTAAATTCAGTGAACCATCTGATGTCAGACAAGCTAAACCACCATATGGTAAGTTCAAGTTCATGTAATGATGTGTGGTGTAATTCTTACAGTAGTGTGTCTACCGGGCATCATTGAGATTTTATGTTTGACTTGTGGTTGATTACATATTCAGCAGTAAAACTTTAGAGAATGGTGTCTTATTGGAGGGTGTGTAGACTATCTGGACCAGTATCCTTACCATTGGATAGTTGGAACTTTCTATACTCCTTTTAGAAAGAAACAGTAGTTATTACTTAATGTGCTGGCTAGTACTTTAATAAAATTATGTGCTACCAAGTATTTATTTTCTCACTGCAAGGTGATGTTGTCGTGTTCTATTTCCATTTAAGAAATATTATTCCCATTTATAATTATAGAATGTTTAGATATTTTTCTGTTTTCTTTTGATTAATTTAGGCGTACCAGGTTCTCCTGGTAAACCAGTTGTCTCAGACATCGATGCTACCCAGATGACGCTCAATTGGACTCCACCTCAGAAGGACGGAGGCTCACCTGTCACAGGATATACAGTAGAAAAGAAAGAAAAACGTTCCAGTTTCTGGACCAAGGCCAACAGATTTGATGTTAAGGATACAAGATTTACAGTGACTGACTTAAAACAAGGATCTGAATACGAGTTCAGAGTTGCCGCTGAGAACAAAGCTGGTGTTGGCAAATACAGCGAACCATCTGACTCAAGAATTGCCAAGATGCCATTTGGTAGGTTCTAACTTGTCAAATAGTGCACGATGTGAAAATGCTACATGTTTGTGTGTATTTATCAATATAAGCCCCCCCCCCCCCTTGTCTCTGCATCTGTTTTCATGAAATTTTAATTTCACTTTACATGCAAGGTTATTCAATTAGTTTAAATGATTTGATACCAAAACAGTAACTTCTTTACTCTTCTCATCTAGTGTTAATTTCACTGGTCCATATCAAAATTAAGGCTGCACATGTATGTAATGTGTCATGTATAATTCTCAAACAATGCAAAGTACCCATAGAATGCCATTTTTGCTGCATGGTGGAAAGCCACTTATAATTATATTTCTTTATTGCAGATGTACCAGGACCACCAGGTATTCCTAAAGTGTCTGAAATTACTGCAACCTCAATGAAACTTAACTGGACACCACCTGAAAATGACGGCGGTTCACCAGTAACTGGATACTTTGTAGAAGTAAAAGAACAATTTACATACAGATGGTCCAGACTAAACCAGTTCCGTGTACCAGACTTGCATTTGACTGTTCAAGATTTGAAGGAAAATTCTGTGTATGAATTCCGTGTCTGTGCTGAGAACAAAGCTGGTGTTGGTCAACCAAGCCATTCCAGTGGTCCATTCACAGCTAAACCACCATATGGTGAGGCTTGGTCACTTTTTTTTTCAATTCAGTTAATTATTTGTATTCTTTGCATACCAATAATAAGTTGTATGTAAATGTGTTAATTTCCGAAATTATACACATTTAGTTTTCCATGTAATAAATGTTGTCTTCCAACCACATTCACAGATGTGCCCGGACCTCCATCAGCACCTAAAGTGGTGGATACAACAGCCACAACCGTGACAATTAGATGGACTGAACCAGAATATGATGGTGGTAACCGTATCACAAACTACATCATTGAGAAGAAGGAAGAGTTTTCAACGAGATGGATCAAGGTGGCAACTGATGCCAATATTATGGATACTCACTATTCAATCACTGGACTCACTCAAGGGTCTGTATATCATTTCCGAGTTGCAGCTGAAAACAAAGCGGGTATTGGTATATATAGTGAACCATCAGATCTTGTAAAGGCCAAACCACCATATGGTAAGCAAACTTCATCTAAACTCAGAATTGTGATAATATGGCTCTTAAATGAACATAAATTACCATTTTTTACAGACAGGTCTTGGTCAGAACTTGACTCAAAATAATCATTACAAAATGATGCATTATATATGAATACATATACTCAAACAATATTATCTTAATATTTGCAGATGTACCTGGCCCACCTGACAAGCCTAGAGTCACTAAAGTTGACAGCAATGAAATGATCTTGACATGGATTTCACCAGCAAAGGATGATGGAAGCCCTATTACGGGATACATCATTGAAAAGAAAGAAGCATTCTCATCATTTTGGTCCAAAGCTGCACATTTAACAACACCAGAGACAAGTGCAACGTTATCTGGACTCAGAGAAGGAACTGAATACCAATTCCGTGTTGCTGCTGAGAACAAAGCTGGTGTCGGCAAATATAGTGAACCATCAGATCCTAGGATTGCCAAACCTCCATATGGTATTTTTTTATTTAATATTTTAAATCCCACTGACCCTATCTGATATTAATTCAGTATATAATGTTACATTGCGCTGTAAGACAGGCACATCATCATAAATTGGTGATAGTAGTTCTATAATGATAAGCATGCACTGTATATATATATATATATATATATATATATATCCTGTCTATGAAATGGAATTGTGATATTTGAAAAGTAGTAAAACAAATAGAACAAAGTCAGATCATGTGTGTTGATGAATTTAACTACAAAATGTAGTAGTCAAAATTTTGACATAGGTATAACAAATGCACTATTGTTTCTGTTCTAGATGTTCCTGGTGCACCAACCAAACCACGAGTGATTGAAGTTGATGCAACCTACATGACGATATCCTGGGTACCACCAAAGTCTGATGGTGGTAGTCCAGTCACTAACTATATTGTGGAGAAGTACGATACCAGCCGAGGACGATGGAGTAGAGCTCATAGAGAGAAGATCACCAATGTCCAATATACTATTACTGAACTTGTTGAAGGCACGGAATACCAATACAAAGTGGCTGCTGAAAACAAAGCGGGTGTTGGTCCATTTAGTGAACCAAGTGAAAAAATGAGAGCAAAACCACCATATGGTAAGTCTAGTACTTTCTTAAATTCCTGTTCAACTGAGTTCAGTTAATATCTATTCTACACACCTCTGGCAAATCTGTGTAGATCCTTACATTTGAAAAGACATGCGATTGTCACCAAATCAAACTAACACACTGACAGTTGACTGAACATGAGTTTTGCTTAGTTTGTAGTTTGATCATAACTTCAGAGCTCTCAAATGAGCTTTGAATGCAGCAATGCTTTACTTGGTTATACAATATCTTGTCTGTCTCTTACTGGTTTGAATATCTTGTTTAATGTACTCGTCAGTTAATTGTTTTGTTTTTCAGTCATTTCTTTCGTGTTCTTTTGTTTAAATTTCTATATATGACTTATGTTGACAATTTATGTTTGGGTATGTCATTTCTACTCTGATATATATGCATATATGCCTTTTTCATCTATGAAAAAAACCCGCAAGATTATGAAATATTTCTAGACTTTTGAATGTTTTCCTGTTTTATTGTAGATATTCCAGGTCCACCAGGCAAACCTAAGATTTCTGATGTCATTGCTACTGCTATGACATTATCTTGGTCAGCTCCTCACACCGATGGTGGGGCTGTGATAACCAACTACATTATTGAACGAAGAGAGAAATTCAGTACCAGATGGATCCGAGCTTGTCATGCCGATATCATGGACACCACATACAGAGTTGCAGACTTGGTTGAACGCAGTGAATACGAATTCAGAGTGTCAGCGGAAAATAAAGCAGGTGTTGGTCCACCAAGTGAACCGACTGCCCCACATATGGCAAAACCACCATATGGTAAGTTTTCACCATGATTTTCACTAAGTTTTTATATTGCATACTCTATATTTAGCATCTCTCTTCATTCTTTGTGTAATTTAATTTTGTTTTTCATACATTAGCTTATTTTAGAAGCACTAAAAGTTAAAAAAGGTAGTGTTAGTGCTTTATTTTGCGTTTGGTGTACTTCAAATCTGATAAAACAAAAACTTCTGGCTCTCCTGTGTGGAAGAGGTGCTTCTAATCAAGCAAGTATGGTACACTTCATTTGGCATCGTGCTAACACCATGACTCAATGCTGAACTTTGAAGACTGACATGCATACTGCGAGACTAAATGCACTGCTCAAAATGGGCATCTAACTGATATGCACCTTTCTTGCTGTCAAGTAACATTATTTCTCTGTTTATACTCACTTTACTTCACTTTATTCCTCTCTCTACAACTCAGATAAACCTGATACACCTAGTCAACCTGTGATCTCTCAAGTATCTGACAAATCTATGACTCTCAACTGGGAAGCACCACCATCAGACGGTGGTTCTCCAATATTTAACTATGTGGTTGAGAAGAAAGATAAATTTAGTGTCAAATTTATGAAAGTAAATGATTACAATGTCAGTGATACACATCTCATTGTGACTGGATTGCATAAAGGAAATGAGTATGAGTTCCGGGTCAGTGCTGAGAACAAAGCCGGTATCAGTAAACCAAGTCCATCTAGCAGACCTATATTAGCTAAACCACCATATGGTAAGATGTCTACATATTACTGCATGCATGCATGGAACCAACATTACTTTGAAGTTTGCACATGCTATATCCTTCCTGCTTTTAATTGCCCTTATTTGTTTTTAAATAGATGTACCGGGTGCACCTGGTATTCCATCGATGTCCGATGTGAAGCCAACATCCTTGCATCTGACCTGGACAGCCCCTACTGATGATGGTGGATCTCCTGTTACCGGATATATCATTGAAAAGAGAGAGAAATTCGGCACCAGATGGGTAAAGGATAACAAAACACCTGTTCTTGATGCCTCTTACACTGTAAGAGACTTGACAGAAGGAAGTGACTATGAATTCCGTGTATTAGCTGTGAACAAAGCTGGTGCTGGCACACCTAGCAATCCAGTGACTCTGAAACTATCTGTTCCTGAGGCACCTGGAATACCAACTGTGTATGGTGTTAAGGCAACGCAGGCAACTGTACAGTGGACACCACCAGAATCAGATGGAGGAGCTAGAATCACAGGGTATTATGTTGAAAGGCATGATACAAGCAAAGAGCGTTGGGTAAGAACCACAAGAACATCTGTGAAAGAAACTGTACAGACAGTAACAGAACTGATTAAAGGAGCTGAGTATGAGTTTAGAGTGTCAGCTGAGAATAATGTTGGTGTTGGTGAACCAAGTAAACCATCAAAACCAGTTATTGCTAAGCCACCATATGGTAAGTACACACAATCTTTTGTAACCTTCTAGATTCTTCTTGGACTATGTCGCCCACTCCCATACCCTAAACTTATACTGTACTGTTTTGATTTGCTTGTTAGTCCCCGTTCAGACGTAGTCCGAAAACAAGGACTTATGTTTTGCCCTGTGTGCGTCTGTGCGTGCGTCTGTGCGTCCGTGATCACCTGTATCTCGAACATGCATGGACCGATTAAGTTCAAACTTCACTCATACATCACACATTATATGGGACATACGCACATGTATTTTTTTCATGATCCGATTAACGATAGCCGAATAGCGGCCATTTTAAGGCCGAAAATGCATTAAAATCTTACATTTTCAGCATTCTGGACCCGGATCTCAGTTATGCATGGACAGATTTTGTTCAAATTTGGTACATACATTAAACATAATAGGACCTTGATGCACGTCATTTTGTTTTAAAGAATTCAGTTCTGGATCCGTATCTGAAACATGTCTGGATTGATCAAGTTCAAACTTCACACACACAAGGTACATCATGTCACAAATATGTATGTGCATTTGTTTCATGATCTCATTAACGATAGCCAAAATGCAACCGCTTTAAGGCCAAAAATGCATTGAAATTGCACATTTTCACCATTCCGGACCCGATCTCAGTTATGCATGGACGGATTTTGTTCAAATTTGGTACATACATTAAACATAATAGGGCCTTGATGCACGTCATTTTTTTTTTCGGATCAAGTTCA